CGTTCTTGTAAAGGACGGTTGTTTCAGAGCAGAGGCCCAGTATGACAGCTTTTCTGGATGAGAGCATGTACGTCTGCTGTGCAGAGCTCCGTACACGTGTACACACGTGTGCACACACGCCACAGATACTACGTGCATTTCCTATGTAGCACACCCCACACTGAATGTTGGCACGCTGTGTGAGGCTGAGCGTGGGTGGTCTCCTCTCTGCCTCCCACCTTGGCCTCCTAAGCCTTGGTGGCAGAGGATCTTTCTGGCTCAGCGAATCCCCAGGCTTTTCAGGGTAGGCAAGAAGCTCTTGATGCACACACTTTGCAGCAGGACAAGGAAGTGGAACCAGGCTGGGGGAGTCCGGGGGAGCATGTAGAACTTTGCTTATCCACCTCCCAGGAAACATTGCTCGTTTCTTTGCTGAACCAAATGCAAAATAAAGTTGTCCGGTGAAACTGGAGGAGGTCCTCACCAGTGCCGGGCTGCAGTCTGTGATGCTCACCTTCCCTCGGGGACCGTAGGAAGGCCGTGCCCCGTACTGCTCACTGAGGTAGCGTGGAGGGACAGCAAGCAGCTGCCTCTGACATTTAGAGAACGAGAGCAGAGGCTTTTAGCAGTGAAACCGGATTTAGGATCTGTATTTATGTGTGTAACTATTCTCGTTGTTTCCTTCTAATTTTGTTTTCGTATTTGTATAGCTGTGTCGTGCTCGGGAACATCCTCACAGTGGCCAGGTAGCAATATGTATTTAAAATCGGGAAATGTTTATTCTGCTGTGAATTCCTTTCTTCCCGCTTTTTCAGATAGGGTGAAGGCAAACGTCCTCACGGTGAAGAGGGCTAAATGGGGGGTTTAACCAAGCGCTCTTGCTGAGCTGGGAAGACCACACTGGTCCTTCGGGTGTGCCGGGGCCGCTAGCTCTGGTGCACCGTCACCTTCTTGCTGCTTGCTCTTCACCCCGGCTGAGCGGCCCTCAGAAGCCCGGCTGCGGGAGGGCCGGGTCTCCGCCTTCATGGTCCACTCATTTTCATAGCAGCAGTTCGGGAAGATCTTTCCCCCGCTAGGGTGGCATCTGGACTTCCCCTTCCCTTTCCAAGGGCCCCAGGCTGCAAGGGTTCCACCCTTCCGGTTTTGTCCCCAAGTGCCCATGGGGATGGAATATTTCCTTGGGCACCTGTAAGTCACTTCTGGCTGTACACTTCAGAACACAGTTCTGCCGCTGGCTTCCAATAACAACAGGAATGAAGTGCCGCGGAATGTTCCCAGAGTGCCTGGCGGTGACCTCGGCTTCCCGGAGGCCTCTGCAGCCTCCGGACGGTGGTGTGCGTGGGGTCCCTGGGAGCCTCCTGTCTTTGGGGAACGGTCAGGTGTGTCATTTCATCTTTGCGAGCTACTAGCCTAGGGTCGTTGAAAAGCAGGTGTGGATCAAGGGAGCAATTACTGGGGCTGCACACCCTGGAGGATTTATCATCTGAGATCTAAAGCCCCTGCCTCCCTCCGCTGCCCCACGTGGGCAGGGTGCAGTTAATGCGCCTCTGAGCGCCTCACCCGCCCGCGGGGTCTTCCCTGCCCCTGGAGGACCATGCAGCTGAAGAACTGCGGCGGTGCCTCCCCGGCGAACTCCACACAAAGGGCCATCCCGCCGGCCCAGGCTCACAGTTTATAATGCTCAGTCTGAAATGACCTTTAAAAAGCCAGATAATATGTTATTTACCTTTTTTCTCCCATTTACTGTTAAATGTTAATGAAGGTAAGAGATTCAAATTCCTGCTAATAAAACATTTTAATTGACTCAAGAGGAGCCCCGGCTGTAAATTGGCTACTCTGCCCGAGCGACCTCAGACCGTCCCCGCCCCCACTGCGCGGGGCCGGTGCAGTTTTGGAAGTTGACAGAAAACGCCTGCTTTGTTCTTCCTGGGCTTCCTTTGCAGCCCACAGGCCTGCAAGGAGGGACAGACAATCCGGAAAGACTGGGCGTCCCTCAGCTCCAGAGCTGACTACCGGGTCTCCCCTCCACAGCCTGTGTCTATGGAGTTCCTTCCAGCTCAGGCCTCTGTAAAGCGATGCCTCCTCCAGGAGGCCTAGGAAGCCTCCCCTTCCTTCCCCTGCTCCCCCACACAGCCCTGGGATCTTGATTTTGTCTGTGTGGCCCCTCTCGCTTTGTCTCCCGTGAGAGACCCCTGTGGCCGCGTTAGCGTGTTACCCCTTAAACACCTGTGTGACCTGGGCCTCTACCAACGGAAGCAGGCTCTAGGTGATTTTTATGTACAAAGGAATCCAGGGGTCAGGGAAAGGTGGAGCCTGAGGGCACCGGGGCCTTCTCGCTGCAGCTCTGAAGACCTGGGCTGAGCGAGGCCCGGCCCAGGGGCCTCTTCCAGCCCCTGGAGCTGCTGGTTCCTGGTACACCAGCCACCAGCTTCTGAGGAGCAACGTTTGACAGAAGAGGCAGCCTTAGCCAAAGGTTCTTCAAAAGGAGGCAGCAGGGAGAGGAGCAAAGACCCTGACCATTGCCCGACTGTGTGATCTTGACTGAGTTATTTCGCCTCTCTGATCCTCAGTTTCCTCCCCTGTAAAATGGGAGTAACTCCAGAAACCTACTTCATAAAGATATTATGAAGAACGGACTTCAGTGCAAAGGGTTCAAGGGAAATGCTCTTCTAATGTCTTGCACATGATAAACAGTCAGTGTCAGCTTTTCTATCCTTTCCTATTCTGAAAGCAGAAGAAAAGCATGTTAAAGAGAAAAAGAAGAGAAATATTCTTTCTCCTTTCCATCAAAAGGGCCCTGGGCATTGGAAAGAGCACCCTTCCCCTCAACCAAAATGGCTCCCTAGAAATCTTTCACCTCCAAGCTTATCCCAAGAAACAGCTCTTTCATTTTATTTATTTTGGGGGGTGGGTACTGGGAATCAAACTCAGGACCTTGCACTTGCCAGGCAGGCACGTGTGCTGCTGAGCTATATCTCCAGCACAGCTCTTCCAGGAAGCCCTCCTAGATGCCCTCCACATTTCTCCAGCATTTTGACACTGTCATGGGGCACTTAGAATATAAGCAACTCCTGTCTCCCATTTGGGGGGTTCTCTTTCCAATCAGAGTGGAGACTTTAAGTCAGAGTGGAGTCCTATAGACTATCCTGACCCAGGGCTAAATAAAGATGCTTTACTACTGATGTTGAATAATGACCTTTATTTCTCCATTCACAGAAAAATAGAAATTAATGGAGGGTTTCTCCCACTTCCATTTCCCCATATCAACAACTGTCCCCCGGTGTGCTGGCTCCCTTGGGGAGTATTAGCAGAGTTGCTTGGGTTCCACCCCAACCAGTTAAAAGAAGAATTTTAGGGGTGAATCCAAGCATCTGTCGTGTTTCTGAAGTTCCCAGGTGATTCTGATGCATGGACAGCCAGGGCTGGGAATCCTAACAATGATCTTACGTAAGGTAAAGCTGATCAAACAAAGAGCAAAGAGTAAAGGTTGAGGGTTCGAAATGTTTGGGACCGGAAGTGTTCCAGGTTTCAGATTTTAGAATATTTGCATGTGTATGATAATATGTCTTGGAGAGGAGGTCCAAGCCTAAACATGAAATTCGCTTCTATTTCACATACACCTTATATACAGCCTTGAAAGTAATTTTGTTCTTTGTGGGGTTTTTTGGCACCAGGAATCAAACTCATGACCTCAAGCTTGCCAGGTAGGGTCTTGTGCTGCTGAGCTATACCCTCAGCCCCTTAATGGATAGTTTTGTTTTACTTTTTTTTTTTTTTTTTTGATTGAAGGTAATTTTATACAGTATTTTTGGCATGTCTGCTTTGACTGCGGCCGGTCACAGGAGTAGAATTTGCCACTTGCCAGCATTCAGAAAATTTCAGATTTTGAAGCATTTAGGGTTCAGACATTTGTGTGAAAGATGCTCAACCCATAGTGGCAATTTTTGAAAAGAGATAGTCTGGCTTAGCTTCATGGTTTAATTAAAATATGTTCATCCCTCTACATTTCCGTAAACACATCTAACATTGATGGGTTTGATTACACTGCTCAGTGGCATGCTCTAGCTGGATTCTAGCCTTTTTGTTGTTGTTTTGTTTTTTTCCCGGTACCAGGAATCGAACTCACAATGTTATGCCTGCCAGACAGGCGCTGTGCCTCTGAGCTAAATCCCCAGCCCAGTGGCACTCTAGCGAGTGCTCTACCTCCTGACACTGCAGACTTAAGCACAGGAGCCTCCTGGTCATGTCTGCTGTCCACGCTGGCAGAGCTTTTGAAATCACGCTTTCCTGTAGTGCACCCCAGTTACTGTTGCTCCCCTACTGTTGCTGTAGACATCTTTGCATACACAGGCTGCTTGTCGGTGTGGCCTGCTGGTCACAAGAGGGATAGGAGAAACGGTGTGAAAAATTTAGCTCAAAACACTTCCCGCCAGGAGGGCAAGGCAGAAAACACACCCTCCCCTGCAAATGGGAGATGAGCAGCATCTTTTAGGGGTTAAACAGAGAATGATAAATATGTTTTTGTCGCAAACGATCATGCAGAAAACAGTTTTGCATGCAAAGCATTTTGGCAGTCACAAACAAACCCCATGTTGGGGATTTATCATTACCCAAACTATGTCTCCCCAAAAATAAGACCTAGCAGGAAAATAATCAGCCCTGAAAACTAGAGATTAAATGCCAACCCCCGTCAGCCTCTCCTCACCTTACCCGCTGTCACTGTTCTCTTGTTCCGGGGCTAATCGCAATACTCCCTTATTTTTAGGGAAAGAGTGTAATATTCCTGCTAACACCCCTGACAGTACTCATCAATTGCCCTGGAACTAAGCATGAGAGAAGCTGGCCACTGACTTCTCTGCAGTGGTTTGGGTCAGCTCAGACAAGACAGGAAAAGAAACTTGGTTATTAGAAAAAATGCAAAGAGTCAGCGCTAACCAACTGTATCAGGAATTGAAAGATTTTATGGCCTACTCGTACTTTTTCGTACTTGTAGAGAAGTGATACATCTTAGTTCACAGTTCTATTAGCATTTTCTCGCTTTTAATAAGTAAGTATTTGTGGCGCCAGGACTGCTTTCTACAAGTAAAATTCCTCTCCTGTCCGTCACTCCATGTCAGTTGTTCTTGCTCCAAGGTGAGAGAGGTTTGAAAAGGAGCTGGAGTGATCATTATTCCAAATGGCTGTTAATCTGTTCACACCCACAGCCTCTGCAGAGCTTCCTCATTTGCGCTCTCATACTGTGGCCCAGGCTCCAAAACCAATTTCCCACCTGGGAGGACGCAGGGAAGGTTCGCATAGGTGTCGCTGCAGGCTGCCGCCGGGGAGGGCACCTGTTGCAGGGCTGCGGCAGGCGTCTGGTGTGGTTATGGCTGTCACATACTGGTGGTTTCTGCTAGCAGCTTCTTCACCGCCCTGCAATTCTTTCATGCCTCTGTGAGAGAAAACCACCATGAGCAGCAAGGAAACAAGGCCCGGGAATGCTTTTGTGTGGTTTTATCTGCCTTCATTCACCCCTCCCTCCCTCCAACTTAAACATGACAGGAACAACCCTATAAAATTAGCTTCGTGGGATGAGACAGGAAGAAAAACATCAAGAAGCCAGCCCCGCTGCCCACCCTCTTTGCAGTCGGCGTTAACATACCCTGCCTTGGGAGTTTTTGGCCTGCTACACGAGACGCACTTGGGCGGTTATTGGTTTAATAAACAGACCAAACTCCTGAGGAACAAAACCTGGCTCACTGAAAATGACCGGGCCCTTAAAAAGCTTGTGTTGGGCTATGGAAACAGTGCTTCCTGGACTGAGTAAATTGATTATGTCCCTTGTCGCCTCCTGTCTACACAACTGTCTGAGCCAGCGCGGCCAAGTGTTTATTGTCAACACCAGCCCAGGGGATGCAGGGCCGACCAGCATCTTGTTAGGAAAATATTTCGCAGGTTTTCTAAAGCGACTCTTTGGGAGTGGCTGTGAGGAGCACCATCTGAGGTTAATGCTTCCTGGACTTTAGAGCTGTGGGTTTTTTTTTTTCCAAAGTGTTCTTGCCTTCAAATATGGAAAGCAGCCTCTTTGTGAAGAGTGTGCTCTCCTTGGTACAAAGGCTGAATTTGTAAACATCTGTTTATGAAAAAGCCGTATTTCTCAATATTGTGGCATGATCTTCTAAACCAATACATAAACGGATCTTTAGTGCACATGGAAATCTTTTGCATTTGAATATAAAAATCCACTGAGAGAGGGAAAAGGGGAAGAAAGAAATGGGTAAATAAGTACAAAAACTCTTAAGAGCCTCTGGGCTGGTTTCAAGAATGCCCCACAAAACAGGTTTTCATGGTTGTATGGGGTGATGTGATCCTATTCAAGTTTCTTTCCTTTCTTTAGAATTTGTGAAGAAGCTGTTGGAAATGGCTTCGGGGGCTGCTCCTAAAATAGATTTTAGAGATGAAAAAATGAGAGAATGCACATGCAATCTGAGACAAACGATCAGCTCTGATACTCAAGCCGAGATTGTAAGATGACTGCTGCGCCCTTCAAGAAATGAATATTCAGGATGCCCCTGCTGGGTGCCTTTTCCTATTTGAACCAACTGCTGTTTGGGCCATGATGTACTTGTTACCAAATTAAATACTCTCTGCACACAGCAGAGCAACTTTGCGAAGTCAGATTTTGAAGTGCAAACATCTTTTCTGCTCTGCCCACGGAACCTGTCACAATCTTCATCGGGAACTGAATTAAGTTTAAAATATCATCAGAGGGTGTTGATCTCTCTTGGGCCTGGGGCTGTCCTCTGTACATCCGGCATTTTTCTGTTGACACTGTGTATCGCTTAGCAACGGGGCTGAAAGGCCCTATATGCATTGATTGTACACCATTGTCTTTAAGGGATGGAAGTGTTAACCGAATAAACCCCCCTGGGTGACCAGACGGTCAGTCCTCTCTTGCTGATCATCTGTTTACAGCAAAATAATGTTTATTCCATTCACTGACTCAGATTTTTACATCTGTGGCTGAAGGAATGCAGTTAATTCCCTACGTGACAGAGAACCCCCTATTTACTCTCCCCACGTGGTGTGATAAGAGCGGTTTTAACCCTCCTGAAAAAGCATTAAATGCATTTGACAGTTAACTGCGGACCATCAGGCAAAGTTCCTTCTATGGCTTCCAAAGGATAGAGAAGTCACAAGCCTGCAATTGTCCCGTGAAGAGAAATGATTCCCTTCGGTTATGCAGACTGTTGAAATCAGTGGCAGGATACGTTCCTTGGCTGAGAGAGGTTAGGCTTTAGAATGGGTGGCAGGCTCTGACATCATGTGAATGAACAGAAAATATGGCCTAGCCATGGAGCGTTTTCAGAATGAATGAAATTTCCAAGTGGAGATGCGTGCTGAGAGGGAAGGGTGGCCCTGCTTTCTGCATCAGTAGGCATGGCTGAAGCAATAGACCGGACTAGTGAGTCAAACAAGCACTTACCTTGGGCCCCGGCCATACAATGATCCGTTTCAGAGACCATCCACGGGGGGAGCCTTTTCACAAACGTCGCAGACAATGAGGGCCTTGCAGCTAAGGGACTTCAACATGTACGTAAAATCGCAACTGTGAACAAAACATAGCAGGGGGGAAGCAGAAATTTTGTGGCTAGCCTCTACAACTACTAGTTTCAAAAACAATCTGCTGTGCTCCTCTGTGAGTTTCCATCACATATATCCAGGCAGGAAAAGGAGAACGCTCTATTAATACGTCCTGAGAAATATGCACTAGCTGGTCAGGCCCACTGTTTCAGAATTAGCTAATTACATTATTTTGCCATTGCTTTGTCTGGGGTAAGGGAGCTGGAATAAAAACAGTAGTGCCAAAAAGTCATGTGGTAACTTCCAAGTCGCATCTCCCCTCAGCCCTCTTCATCAAATAGGAAATCTATTCAAAGGAACTAAATTCTATTCATCTTTCTCCCTGATAAAGGTTTTGGGCCTTTATGCTTAACATGAAGAAAAATGAAAAATTAAAGTTTTATACACAGACGTGTACATGATGAGATGAAAATCACCCATGAAAAAGGGCCATTCCACAGAGCGTGGTTCTAAATAGGGATTGGCATGTAACCAGGAGGAAGTGCGAGAGTACCATCGTCGTCAGGAATTAAAGTTAATCGGCAGGTTTGGAAGCGATATCGATCTCTTCCACACCTTTTCCTCCTCAGCATCTCCCACCAATCCCTCTGTGCATCAATCCTGTGGCCAATTGTCCCAGCCTGGTTTGCTGCTTCTATAAACATTTCACTGCTACAAGTTGGATTTCTCACAGCATTAACTTTAACTACATGGATGTTTGTAATGGAATAAAACTTTAAATGGATTTTGCTGTATTGCTAGTTTTTTTTTAAAAAGTGGGCTTCAAATGTAGATAGATGTGTGCCTCATTTCATGGGAAAATTATTCTCTTGTGGGGCAAGTTGATGTTGCTTCACTGAGAAAGTCTTAAAGAGGAACACAGCAACAATGCCCCCACTTCTTGTGGGAAATTCCTTGACAAATTTCCAGCCACGTGTAAATTTGAAATTGCTTTTAAATCGCACAAGCATTAGTTCATTGAGTAGAAAAAAAAAAAAAAAAAAAAACAGATTTCAACTCAAACCTCAAATGCAACTCTGGTAAAACTACTTTGTGAAAGCCCAAGAAATAAGTTGGAAGGCCTTGTTCACTATCTCCTGCAAAGTTTTTGCCAGATTCCGTTACTCTGAGAGGCGTTTAAGAACAAAGTCCCTAGCTTCTCCCCGGCAAGAAGAGTTCCTTCTGGAAGACACAGTTTTTTTTTAATTGTAGTTGGGATTCTCTCAGAAACGGCACAGCCATCCACTTTGAACTCCACTGAGTGGGTGGCAGTTGTAAAAACCAATATCACTCACACCTAACTGCTAGATTTCAACGTCATGGTCAGGAGTAAACATCCCTTCAGGGCAGTGTGTCCTGTCCTAAAGAACCTACACCTCCACATAAAGCGTCTCACTCTTCCTCAAAATGTTATCTCTTCTATGTCCAGCAATGCTGATATTAAACTAATAAAAGAGAGGGGGCTGGAAGAACGGGCCCTCTTTCAAGTTAAATGTTATCTGCTTAGGCTAATATTGCAGTTGCCACCCACTGACATAATTTGTTTCACAGTCACAGCTTGGCAACATGAATCAAATGTTGACATTCTAATTTCATGCACACATGGGTGTTTGGCTGAGCGAGCCCGCAGCCTCCAGACCGTTCTCTCTGTACCTGTGTAAATCAGGCAGACAAGCCGTGCCCTCAACAGCCTGGGAGCCAACCCGGCACTTCGGTGAGAGAACTTGGGAGCCTGGCTTCTTCTCCTCTGTGTGCGTGTTTGTTTGTGCCTTCTACCGTGCAGAGCGTAACGCAGGAACACTCTTGCTCCTGCTGGCAAGGTGACCTTTTCTTTTCACTCCTTCCTCCCTTTAACTGCCATTTTCATAATTTAAGAATTCATGATTTTTCACGTTCCTTTCCAAATTAGTAGCAGATTTTTTTTTTTGAGAAAAATACCAACAAAAATGAAGTAGTAGTAAGAAGAAACACCGATAACTGGAAAGAGGAGAGGCTGACTTCCCTTTGTTATGGGCTGGATTAGATGATAGTTCGAAGCCCCAGCCTCAGTGTGCCTATATTTAGAGGCTAGGGGGTAATTAAGATAATTAAGGTTAAATGGGATCATAGGATTGGGACCAAATCCAACAGGACTGGTGTCATTCAAGAAGTGAAAGAGACCTCAGAAATTCCCAAACAGAAAATAAAGGTCACAGGAGGACACAGAGCTCTGCTTGTCTACAAGTCCTGGAGAGAAACCTCGGAGAAGTCAAGTCTGTTGACCTCTTCATCCTGGACACGCAGCCTCCAGAGTCATGAGAAAATGCATCTCTGTAGTTGAAGCCTTCTGCTGGTGGGGCTTTGTAGCCGGAGCTGACTCAAACCCCTCCCCAGTGAGTGGTCTGACTTCCTGCGGGTGCGGTGCCATTGACCAAGTGGCTTCTAGAACCACCTTCGCCGTGGCTTCTCCACTAGACACTGGTAGCGTGAAGAGAGTTTTAGGGTCACAGCCATCAAGAACTTGAATAAAACCAGTGGAGCGTTGCTGGCAGCCTCTGTTTGACCTTACACTCGGGAAGGATTAATGACCGGTCCTTTGTGTTAGGAGGGATGCTCTAGCCACATGCAGCCAGACATGGTGGTGGTGGTGGGGTTTCCCCTTCCAGGGAGAGGCTGACCTTCGTTGATCCTGTGGTAGCACTCAGTTCTTCCGGATTGTGAGTTAGCAGGGAGTGGGCAGGGGTCTGGCTATGACTGTTATCATTGATTAAAGGGCAGAGCCATAGAGCAGTTGATTTGGACAACAGTCTAACTCTGTGTCCCAAATTATCTTCCCTTCTTACACCTTCGATTTCATCACCTCTGCCAGCATCAGTTTTTCTTACTAATGGGATATTTTCAAAATAGCCCAAATCCATGCTCATTGGAATATTCTGCCCAGAAATCATTTGCCACTTACTCATTTGGCCGTTAGTAAAGACTTTTTGGGCCAGGGATATAGCTCAGCGGCGTAAGTGCTTGCCTGGCAAGCCTGAGGTCATGTGTTCGATTCACCGTACCAAAAAAAAAAAAAAACAAACTTTTATCATTCTACTTGCTGGCCATATGTTTCACACGGGAGCGCAGATATGTTCTAGATTTTTGTACCCCTCAAAAAGCTGATATTCTATAATCTGTCCTAACTACTGAAAACTCTAATACTTTTCACCAAAAAATAAATTATGAAATCTGGAAGAAAGGGTCTGGGAGCCAGTTTAAGTTCCCGTGTCATCTTTGGGATCCTTTGTTTTCCTTCCCTGGACTTTAGCATCCCTACTTGGAGAGCAAGGATTAACTTCTGTCTTCTCCTCAAGTGAATGATTTGATGATTCTTCTGTTTTACAAAATGCAACATATGACAAAAGTTCCTGAGAATAAGGCAATGAACGTCAGTGAATCAAATTCAGCTCAACTAAAAAAAGTATCGAGTAATTGTGCATGCCAAGCATGACGCTAAGTGCTGAGTACTCAGACATAATTAAGATGTAACTTTAACCTCTAAATGAAAAGAGAACATTGAGCTCAAACAGCAGGGCAGGAAAAAAGTTTGTGACAATATTGTTGCTGTGTTACGATTTTAAGGCAAATATTATTGACTAAATCTAACTCAGTGTATAGAAGAATACCACACGGCTATTACCCTGGCTTGTAGGACTAAAACTTAATGACTAATAATTAACTGTGTGACCCTGGAGCAGCATGTAACCCGCCTCGGTCAAGTTCATCTCCTTTTTAAATACAGGGATTGGACTGAGGTTTTCTAAGCTCTGTTCCTTTTCTGAGAGTGTACAGTTATTAAACTGTGAACCAGCAGTTTGAATAATACTACCATGGATCTTGCAAGACACAAGTAATTGACTGAACTGCTTGGAAAGCTGTTTTTGGTCATGTTTCTGACATAAGATTTGAAGCTGCCTTCGTGTTACCAAGACATGTGTCAGTCAATTAAAAGTAATCAGGGGCTGGGGTTTTAGCTCAGGGGCACAGGGCCTGCCTGGCAAGCACAAGGTCATGAGTTCAATTCCCGATACCAGAAAAAAACAAACAAACAAAAAAACATTCAACGGCAGTAACCCGTTGAGCTGCAGTAACCAAAGTTCTCTGAAGGAATAGGTTGTTGAGGGGTTCCCTCCTTGCCACAACCCCAAACCTTGTATTCTTGTGTCTCTCATTTTTTTTTTATTATTGTTTTAAAGAGTAAAAGAAGGATAACTTAGTAGTAGGGGGAGCTTACTGAATTACAGATAAAGTGGTAGGAAATTATCAGTGGTTGTTGTTTTACATATTGTTATGTACAAAATAGTTTCTCAGGAAAACAAATAGACAAATAATAGTGAGTTATAGACAAAAGTGGTAGGAGTTTATCAATGCTTGTTGTACTATACTTTGGTATCTTCAAAATGGTTTCTAAAGAAAATAAATAGAGCTATACATGAGTGACCAACTGAATAATCATTGACTATTCTCAATGGTTGTTGTAAGAAACACATAGTAATAAACATACAACCATTTATGAAATAGCATAGGAGCAATACAAACATTACAGAGTTATGGACAGATTAGTCGGAAAATATCAATGGCTGCTGTAATACATGGTGGTATCTTCAAAGTGGTTTTTTAGGAAGACAGAGATACACAAAAAAGATCTAACAAGTAGTTACAGCCTAAGGGTTGTCAAAAATAGCAGATTATCTCCTCATCAGTGACTCCTTTCACTGAGGTGTGATGGCTGGAAGGAAGGCCAGGATTGAAAAGAAGGACCGAGAGACTTGCACCTGTGTCTAGTAACAGGCTGTTTTCTTGTTCCTCCATAGTCATGATTACCCAGGGCTCCTCCCTGAAAACAAAAGCTGACAAGGACACCACACATACAAAAAAGAAAATTAGAATTAAATATCCCTGATTAGCATAGATAGAAAAATTAGTAAAGCAAATTCTACAGCACAGATTTACCTGATGGCTGCAGTGGGTTTCTAGGCCTTCGTCCTTTGACTGCCACTGGATCCCTTTGCACTCCAGGGTGCCATCTTGGGTTCTTCTACTGCTGACCCAGTAGATGGCCACTGGGATTCTTCCAGCTCTGATCCCATAAGCCTGTCTAGTAAATCACTTGAATAGCTAAGGTCATCTTGAATAACTAGGTCATCTCTGGGTTCTGGCTTTTTCCCCACCCCCGGAATAAGGCAATGAACGTCAGTGAATCAAATTCAGCTCAACTAAAAAAAGTATCGAGGGGCTGGGGATTTAGCTTAGCAGCAAAGCGCCTGCCTGGGAAGCGCAAGGTCATGAGTTCAGTTCCCGGTACCGGAGAAAAACCAAAATAAAAAAAATAAAAAAAATTTTAAAAGTATCGAGTAATTGTACATGCTCAGCCTAAGAAGGGCCAGAGAAAAATGTTTCTAGGTAGGTGGCCCCACTGAGCCAAGCTTGGTTTGTGAGGCACTTACCCTCTGTGTCTACATGGTGGAATGTCTGTGGGTCCCAGACTTGGAAATAGGGAAGGGTTTCTGACCCCAGAGCAGTCCAGTTGGAGGCAGTGGGTCCTTCTCAAGAAGTCTCCTGGGAATAGCAGCTTGGGAGTTTGCTGGGAAATGGTGTGAATTCCTTTTCCAAACTGCAGACAGTGAGCAGAAGCACCAAAACGACATCCACGATCTGGAGGCAGATTTATTTACGTCGACGGGCACTGATCAGGATCACTCCCAGAGTATCAGGTCCCGGTCTCTGGTGGTCTAGGGCTTATATGAGATAATCAAGCAGGAAGCACAGAGGCAGAATGGCTGTCAGTTGGGGGTTGGTTTATGCAATGTGCATCACAGTGACCAGCTGTGTGTCACAGTGAGCACCTATTTCTAAGACACAGGAGCAACTAGAACTGGGACAGGAACTGTTACCTGGGCAGCTGAGAAACTGAACTATACTGGCTGGGGGTGGGTGGGCATTTTCTACTACATTCTACCTAGGCTGTGTGCCTGGAAGGACTGTGAAACTCCTCAGAAGCTGGCATTGCCAGTGGCCATGCTCACAACAGTTTCCGGGGCTCTGTCATCTTCACCCCTCCAGCGAGGAGACTCCTCCTTGACTTGACCTGGTTTAGGTGCTGTCTCAGGCTGGTGAGTGCAGTTAGGAACGTCTATCTAGAAGGAGCTGAGAAGAAGATAGGCCCACACCTAAGGCATCCAGGATACTTAGTCAGAAAAACTATCCTGTCTCTGATTTCTTTGACTCCCACATGTATCTTTCCCTTTGGATAGAGGTGTGAGGTTTGTATTGGAAAAGAACCTGGCTCTATCTGCCAGAGGAACACTGTTCCCTTTGTCCCAGTGGAGTGGCCATGGAGCCAGACTCTCTGTTCTGGAACCTTCTGCTGTGGCAACATCATGGGCCCCTCATGCTCCTCCACAGTGCTGGTTTGGTGGACAGAAGTGACCCTTGACTCACAAATCACTCATATTGTACAATTTGACCCCAAAATTGAGCTGGGGGGATGTTTGAACTTGGATCTATGCAGTGTGCAATAAAAAGTCTTTCACTTGGGCAGGCTGAGAAAAGGGACTGGTTTGGTGATGTGTTTGAACTGTAGCGTATTTTCAAAGTGATGCCATGATTTGGGTTCCCTGCGTAAGATAAAAGGGTAGGACTTTCCTAGAACTAATCTTCAACAATGCTGAATCAATAAATGGGTGAATGCTGTCCCGAAGTATCTAAAGTAAGGGTCACTGGGACAGTGTTAGCCACAGTGCCACCAAGACATTTGTAGAGATGTCAGAATCTTGGTCCCTATAAACTACTTATTACTGAGACTGTACAGGACATCTTAGCCTTTGTTCCTTCTCAGAGGAGGTCCAGATGCCACTCCTCCTCTGACATGTGATTGAAGCTGAACAAATATGCATTAAATTGCGAGTGAGGACTAAGTATAAGCATGCACGAGGAATACTTCATAGTTAGGAAGTGCTAGGTAATTTTTCTTCATCAGAGACAAACTTCCCTTCCTTTAGACATTCAGTCATTGCTTCCTCAGGGAAGCCTCTGCCCCCACCTCATTATGCTTGGTCTCAAGCCCCAGGTGCTGTGCAATGCCTGCCACTTTGTAGACACACAGCACATACTATGCTCTTTGAAGGAAGCAGGGAAAAGAAAAAGCTGGGCGTGGTGACACACACTTGTAATCCCAGCACTTGGGAGGCTGAGGATCACCTCATATTCTAGGCCAGCCTGGGCTACAAAGTGAGTTAAAGGCCAGCCTGGATTGTACAACCAGACCTTGTCTCAAAAAGACAAAAAAAAAGAAGGGGAATGAGGAAGAGAAAGAGAAGGAGAAGGGAAGGAAGGAAGGAAGGAAAAAGAAAGAAAGAGAGAGAGAGAGAGAGAGAGAGAAACTATAAAAATATAAAAAAATGTTCTCTATAACGTCAATGAAAGTGGTTGTGGTAGTTAATTTTCTGTGTCAACTTGGCTGGATCTTGGGATGCCCGGGTATCTGGAGAACTTCGATTCTGGGTGTGTCTGTGAGGATATTTCTGGAGGAGATTAGCATCTGGAGGAGAATGTGGCAGAGGGGTGGAAGAAAGCAGATCACCCTCCCCACTGAGGGTGGGTGGGCAGGCCCTGTCTAATTCACAGGAGGCCTGAAAGGTGAAGGAAGAGCATGTGCATTTTGCTGCCTCTCCGCCTGACTGCTTTGGCTGGGCCTTTGGTTCTTCCTGGTCTCAGCCTGCAGGTTCAGACTATGATCTGGGCCGTCGGCTGCCTGCCTCTCAGGCCTCTGACCTTTCTTGGGTCTCCATCTTGCAGAGGGCAGACTGTGAGGCTTTTCTGACCTCCACGGTTCTATGATCCAGTATCTCAGGGTAGATCTTTATCTACCTAACCAGCTAGCTAGCTATGGTCTATCTGCCCCTCAGTCTGTCAGCCTACCTTTCTGTCATCTGTAAACGTGTTCTGTCTCTCAGGACAGCCCCAAGTAACAAAGGGGCAGAACATTGCCATGGACCATCACTTTAGGGGGCCTGCCTGGGTGGGCTAGGCGGACAGTCTGCGGCTATGATGGAGCTGCTGTCCTCTCACACAGAACCCCTGCGGGACACTAACCTTCAAGTTCTCCTTTAGGCTGCCTTTCTAGCCTTAGATTCCGATCTGCGACTTCCAGGAGTCTCACAAGCAAGAACAAAAGCAGTGCTGAGATGATCTGGGGGAAGCCTTACAGCCGGTCCCTGCCTCAGCCCCGCCCCCCGCCCCCCAGGATGGTAACCTTACCGTAGCTGGGGACTGATTTAAGATTTGCGTTTCCTGGCAGCTCTGGCAAAAGGAAATGTTCATTTGCACAGTTTTTTTTCTAACCAAAGAAACCATTCAGAGGCACAGCTGACAAACACACTTGCCCGGCAAGTGTGACATCATTGTACATTCAGTGTCCCTCCTTTAAGATGATTTCTATCTCATGCAGAGATTTCTGGGAGGGTGGCCTTGTTTCTTCTCCTAAGGGTCTACCTGGGGGCTCTAGGGGGATGTAACTGCCAACCAAACTCTTCCACTTTCTGAGTTTCTCTGATAGACAGTCACTTTAGAGAACGCCAATCCACAGTCTTTCCAGGGGGGTTAATGCCTTAGATTTCCTTGGCTTCTCCTCACTTCCAGGGACTTCAGAACTGCCCCAGCCTCCTCTGCAACGAAAACCCAAGGCCAAGAGCAGAAACCCTCCTTGCAGGCTTCCCACTGCACGCCACTGCTCTTCCACTGACATCTGAGTATTTCCTGGGACAAAAGCTTAAAATACCAATATTTTTTAAGTAAAAGCAAGTATGTATTTCCTTTTCACTTTGTTATTTATTTGTCCACTCTCTGGCTAGATCAGAAGACAAAATCTAGAAGGAAATTTTCCTTCCTTTTTCGCTAATGCAAACATGGCAGAGGGGTGGGACAAGACGGAGGCTGGATGAAAATCTCCAGGACAAGTGGAAGGAAATCTGCCCCTCCTGGTGCAGCAGGTCCACCCACCCAAGGCGAGCGGCACAGGGAACAAGCTGGTGGGAAGGTCTCCCTTGGGATGCAGGGAGCCTGCACGGCCCAACCCTCCTGCTGCTCTCAGAACAGTCTGTGGAAGGTGATGTCTCCAGTGCCTGCCAGAGTGGTACGGATGAGCCTTCTACAGGCATCTGAGCAGTCAATGGGAGCCAGCGAGAATCAGGAGTGAGGGCAGGACAAGACCCAGCTGGGCGACCATGGCTGAGGGATAAAAGATTTCCACATTAAAATCCAGTTACATTCAGTGTCCCTCCTTTAAGATGATTTCTATCTCGATAGGGTCAAATACAAGGTAAAGATATCATAAAAAGTTATCAAATTAAGCCTATCTTGTAGGTCAACAGAAAGGAACATTTTGGTTTGTTTTATTTTGTGGTGCTGGGGATCAAACTTAGGGCCTCTGGTGTGTAAGACAAGCCCCAGGTTGCTGAGCTACTGTTTCAATCCTTAAAGCTACATTACAATAACTCAATACCCGCCCCTGCCCCCCAGCTTTTAGGAAACTCGGCTTGCTGGTCAAAGAAAGGTAAACAGCAATCTGAGCAGATGAAAAAGAAATCTGTATTCCCAGAGGGAGACAATAAACCTTTGGTCTCTTTTCAATTATTTCATATTGTTTAGGAAGAAAACTAATCTTTGCCCCTGCTAACATTATTTTAACTTCTCTCCCTGAAGGTCGCAGAGCAGCAGCATCCTTGGAAAATTCTAAGTGTCTTTTTTTTTTTTGCATACTGGAAAGGCAGAAGGCATCTTTTATTTAAGGTTATAAATGTATTTTTGAAGATGAAGCCTCAGAGAGAAAAATGGGCACAGGTGTTGCTCTATGGCTAATTGAGCAATACTCACCCAAAGGGACCCAGCTTGACCTTGCCTAAGCACTGTCCTCTTGGCTGGCTCTCTGAGATTGACCTCTGCCTAGAGAAACCAGTAGCAGCAAAATAAAAAACACACCTCTTGGGGGAAATCACAGGACTATGATATGTTTTTCAACTGGAGGGTGGGCCCTGCCTTGATGTCACCTAAAAGATAAAACACAAGGTAGAGCCATTATAGGGGAAATATGTCTTTAAGAGAGAAATGAATCCTTCTATGGCATGAGGTCTCAACTAGAAGCAACTTAGCACCAACCCCACCAACCTGGAGATATTCTTGGCTGTCATAACAGGGAAGAAAGTGCCAGGAAAGCCGCTAAACACCCCCATGGACTCAGGACCATCCCATCACAAAGAACTGTCCCACGCACTCCAAAAAAACTCCCTGCTGGTATGAGAACATAAAACCCTTCTACATCCATAAAGAGGCCATTGTCACCTGAGAAGTCTCACGGCTGTCTTTCCAACCAATTCTCACCTTTCCTTGAAGGTCCTGGTGCTCCAGGAGAACTTCAGGGAAATGCAAATTCCCAAATGCAAATTCCACAATGATTGATTAAAAAAGACATAGCCTTCCAAACCATTTGTCTTGCCCTTGTCCTTAATCTTGATTTGCCTGTAGGTTACTCTTACCATAAAGACAGTATGAATGACTGTCTCCAGCCTTTCCTCATTAATGCCACCAGAAATTGATGAGCAGTTCTCCGGAACTGTGGATTTTTTTGGCAAGAATTATAGTCCTTATTTATTTTGGAGGACCCATGCAGCTTCCTAAGTAAATATGTGCAGAAAATTCCACCCAAAATAAACACCACAAGTAATTGCCTG